TGGTGTTTCGTCCCCTTTTGCCGTGGTTCACTCTGACATTTGGGGACCTAGCCGCGTTAAGTCTACTTTAGGTTTTCAATACTTTGTTACTTTCATTGATGATTATTCCAGATGCACTTAGTTATTTTTTATTAAAAATCGTTCTGAATTATTTCATATCTTTCAAAAAATTTTCAATGAAATTCAAACTCAGTTCGGTGTTTCTATTAGAGTTTTGCGCAGTGATAATGGTCGTGAATATCTTTCTCATTCTTTTAAACAATTCATGGCTTCTCATGGTATTTTGCATCAAACTTCTTGTGCTTATACACCTCAACAAAATGGTGTAGCTGAATGTAAAAATAGACATTTTATTTAACCAACTCGCACTCTTTTAATTCATGGAGAGGTTCCTCAACATTTTTGGGGTGATGCTCTTCTTACTGCATCTTATCTCGTTAATCGCATGTCATCTTCGGTTTTAGATAATAAAATACCTCATTCTATTTTATTCCCTCGTGAACCACTTCATCCCTTACCTCTAAGAGTTTTCGGGTCTACATGTTTTGTTCATAATTTTAGTTCTGGTCTTGACAAGCTTTCTCCTAGATCACATAAATGTGTTTTCTTAGGGTTTACAAGATCAAAAAAAGGATATAAATGTTTTTCTCCTTCTCTTAACCGTTATTTTGTGTCTGTAGATGTCACCTTTGATGAGTTCTCTTTTTATTTTAAAAGTCAATCTTCACCTCTGTCTCCATCCAATCTTGTCAACACTCCTAGTACATTTAATGTTCCTGTTGTTTGTGACCCTCTAACTGTGTCTTCTTCACCATTAGTTTCTGCTCCGCAGTCAGCTTCTTCTTCACTGCCTCTTCAGGTTTATAGTTGTCGAAACCAATGACAACCACCACCATGTGACTCTACTCAAGTGTCAACTACTCTGTCTCCTCCGGATGTGACACCTGAGTCTGACCTTCACATTTCCCTCCGAAAAGGTATCCGTTCTACACGTAATCCCTCTCCCCATTATATTGGTTTGAGTTATCGTCAACTGTCATTACCTTTTTATACATGTCTTTCCTCTCTTTCTTCTGTGACCATTCCAAAAACTGTCCGTGAAGTTTTAGCCCATCCTGGTTGCCGTCAGGTCATGTTAGATGAACTAAGTGCTCTTCATAATAGTGGAACTTGGGAATTTGTCTCGTTATCGTCTGAGAAATCTATTGTTGGTTGTAGGTGGGTGTTTGCTATCAAAGTTGGACCTGATGATACTATTGATCGCCTCAAAGCTCGTCTTGTAGCCAAAGGTTATACTCAAATTTTTGGGTTGGATTATGGAGATACCTTTTTCCCCGTGGCAAAAATGACTTCTATTCGTTTATTTATCGTCATGGCCGCTCTTTAACAATGACCTCTTTATCAACTAGATGTTAAAAATGTTTTCCTCAATGGTGATTTGCAAGAAGAAATTTATATGGAACAACCTCCTGGGTTTGTTGCTCATAGGGAGTCTTCTGGGATGGTATGTCGTCTTCACAAATCCCTATATGGCCTAAAACAGTCTCTTATGGCCTGGTTTGAAAAGTTTAGCAAGGTTGTTCAACAATTTGGTATGACTCGGTATGAAGCAGATCACTCTGTCTTTTATCGACACTCAAGTGCTGGATGTGTTTACTTGATAGTATATGTTGATGACATCATTCTTACAAGTAGTGACAACCATGACATCTCTCAGTTGAAACAACATCTCTGTCACCATTTTTAGACCAAAGATCTTGACAAACTTAGATATTTCTTGGGTATTGAGGTGACACAGTCCAATGATGGTATTGTTATATCTCAGAGGAAGTATGTCATGGATATTTTGGAGGAAACTGGGTTGATGAATTCAAAGTCTGTTGATACACCCATGGATTCCAATACTAAACTTCTACCAAATCAGGGGGAGCTTATACCTGATCCTGAGCAGTATAGAAACTGGGTTGATGAATTCAAAGTCTGTTGATACACCCATGGATTCCAATACTAAACTTCTACCAAATCAGGGGGAGCTTATACCTGATCCTAAGCAGTATAGAAGATTGGTTGGAAAATTGAATTATCTTACAGTTACTCGTCCTGACATTTCTTTTGAAATCAGTGTGGTAAGCCAATTTCTTAATTCTCCATGTGAAGATCATTGGAATGCAGTCATTCGTATCTTAAAGTATATTAAAGGATCTCCTGGAAAAGGATTGTTATATGATTCTAATAACCATACAAGAGTTGTTTGCTACTCAGATGCTGATTGGGTAGGATCTCCTTCAAATAGAAGATCTACATCTGGATATTGTGTCTCCATTGGTGGTAACTTGGTCTCATGGAAAAGTAAGAAACAGAGTTGTGTCAAGATCTAGTGCAGAAGCAGAATATAGAGTTATGGCCTCAGCTGTCTGTGAACTTGTTTGACTCAAGCAATTGCTTAGAGAGTTACAATTTGGAGATGTCACTCAAATGTCACTTGTGTGTGACAATCAAACTGCTCTTCATATTAGTTCTAATCCGGTCTTTCATGAGAGGACCAAACACATTGAGATTGACTATCATTTCATTCAAGAAAAGATTATGTCTGGAGACATCAAGACTGATTTTGTTAACTCAAGTGATCAGTTAACAGATATTTTTACTAAATTTTTACGGGGTCCTAGAATTTATTATATTTGTAACAAGCTTGACACATACGATTTGTATGCTCCAACTTGAGGGGGAGTGTTAGATATTATTTGATATTGTTAAGATACTGTTAGATATTGTTAACCACAATATTTTCTGTTTATTCCGTTACTTTCAGTTTCTCTTTTAGTTATATCTTTCTACTATAAATAGATTACCATATGTGTGATTTATACACAAGGGAGATTAATCTCAAACTCTATTTTTTCTATATTCAACCATTCTCATACTTGTTTAAGCCACACAACATTTTGAAAGTTTTTATATTTTCTTTTCTCTTAATTATGTAAAATCTCAAAGACTTTTTTTTTTAATCACAATTTAACATAGCTAATTTAATATTCAGATGATAAATTTCTAAATTTAAAGAAAATAAGTTATAATATTAATAATTTTAAATAGCTCAAAATATATATTAAAGAAATCTAAACTTTATACCTGACGATAAATAACAACAAATTTTACTTTAAATTTATCAATAGATTCAACCAAATTTTTTCTTACAAATCCATTTAGTTTCGATATTTTTACAAAAAGAGAAATATTAGTTAAAAACAAATTTTATTTTCATTTAAGAAAAATCATGTAATTGTAAATTTTATTTATAATATATATTTTATATATATATGTATATATATAATATTTCTTCATATTAAATTTAAAACTCTGCTTAAGTTTTACAATTGAAATAGTGAATTCTTCATGAACACTCATTTCTCTTATTCTCTCTGAACCGACAATGCAACAAAGTGTCGCTTTTCCTTTTTTTTTGAGAAGCTGAAAGTGGGGAAAAATTGAAGATAAGGATCAGTGAGGGCAGAGATACCGAACCAGGTAAAATCCCTAATGTTCTTTATTTTATTTTTTTTGGTAATTGACATGGGTTTTGGTCCTGTTGCTATGCTCCTTTTGATTTTCGAATTTCGTAAAAAAAGAAAAACATATATTAGGGATTTTACTCATCAATGGTCGTTGTAGTCTCTACATGCATGATTCAATATCGTTGAGAAAAATGTTATTGGAATTTGTGTGTAGAATAGCATATTTGAACTTCATTAAGGAATTCACTGTTACATCGTATGTCTATGGTAGTAGCTTAGCTCGGGAAAACAACTAAGTGGGAACTATGACAAGTAAGCAATTCCTGATACGACTCTTAAGATTCTGGATTAGACTTTTTGTGTTTGTTTGGATTTTCATTTTGTTAGAGTCTACCCTTGTCCGCAGAAGCTTGCATTTTCTGTACCTTTATGCTTGTCTGATGCGGTTTTTTCTCTTCATGCATGTCTAAGATGGAAGGCCGAACACTCACTTTACCAAAATTTTAAGATGCTTTGGATCATTGAACATGATGTTATCTTACACGACAGGACCTTAGCTACTAAATCAAATTGTATAATTTCTTAAAAATTGGACCAGAGTTCTTATAAAGTTGGGAAGTAGTTTTGAGAAAGGGAGAGAGTATTTGGAGGATAAAAATATGCTGCCTCACCACATTCCTAAAGGTTGGGGAAGAACATAAGGAATTAGCGTCTTCCCACCTGAGATCAATTGTTGCATTGCCTGTGAGTAATAGTTGGTCGTGTGATTTTGTGGCGTTCCTACCATCTCATAGTTTATAGGTTCTTTATTTGTCTTTTACTAAAAAAATTTGGATGCCTTATAGTTTTCATGGATCTATGATTATTATGCATACTGTAGGGAATAAATAAAAATGAAAAAATGAGGCTATATTAATATTATTAATTTGACTTCTCGATCTTTATCAGTATGTTCATAATAGTAACCAGAATGAATGTATGATACTCAAAGATATAAAAATAAACATTCTTCTTAAAAATGTTGCACAATAACATAAAAAAAAATATCCTTCATTAGCCATACTGAACTGGTTATGGACAGTACCAGTTCTCATTGGTCTGTTCACTAATTTTTTACTGTTTTAATGGAGAAATCGGTCTAACCACGTCATAGGTTAAAACTGTTTGTAAATTTATTTACAGCTGGTTGGTAGGTTAAAGACTGAATTTGGACATAAACTAGTTCAAAACCAGTTTGATTGCTAATTGAATCATATTGCATTGGTTTATCATTGATAGATAGTCATTAGCTAATTAGTTATGTTAGTAATTAGTTGGTTGGGTTACTTGGCCAAAGTTATTACTAATTAGTTGCACGAAATGACATGCTTTTGTTGGATAGTTTTGGTTTCTTATTCAAGCTGAAATCAATGATCTAACTATTGATTAGATTTGTCTACCTTTTTGAACATATTTATCTACTTGCTGAGGCCTGAAGTTGAACCAATGGATTGTTCAGCTGCAAGAAAGACACAAAAGGCTGACCGGGAAAAGTTAAGGAGGGATCGACTCAATGAACAGTTTGTAGAACTGGGTAACGTTTTAGGTAAATCAAGTTTCACCTTTTCACGTTGTAAATTAATGGATACTGGCATTTCTATTGAACTAGTAGGGGAATTAATAGAAAGAAGTTCTGATTACAATTTAAAATTACTGAATAATATGGATGGTAAAATTCCATGCTTTAGATTGATTTGTTATTTGATTGCAAACTATTTAGCAAAGCAGTATGCAGTATTTGTTTTAGAATCATTACAGCAAGATCAGGTTTGTTGATTTTAGAGCTAGGGGCAATTGATGTTCTTGAATTATCTTAATATTTTGAATGGATTGTTCTGGTTTGCATTGCCTGCTGTACTTTGTTGTCCGTACAGTACTTTAATGCTACAGTTGTCAGTTTTTCTTTTGAAAAAGGGAGTTTTCTTTTGATTTCCATATTTGCATAAGATATAATTTAGGTTTTTTTTTTTTTAATTATCCTGATTGTGGCTTGATTATTTTAAACCACGTGTAGCATGTAGCATGCAGCAGAGGTTAGCAAGAGCATATACAAATGCTGATAATTTGTATTAAATTCCTGTTATCTCTTTGGAATATATTCGTGTTTTTTCCATTTAATGTTAAGAACTTTTAAAACAATAATTCTCTTAAATCACTCTCTTCTGTGGAGATTCTGAAATGCAGACCCTGACAGGCCCAAAAATGACAAAGCAACCATTCTAGGTGATACAATTCAATTGCTGAAGGACCTTACTTCTCAAGTTAGTAAACTCAAAGAAGAATATGCTACACTAAATGAAGAATCTCGTGAGGTAATGTTTTTCTTTAATGAATGGCCTGTCTTGATACTTTTGGGACATAAAATAATAATGGAACTAATTTAATTTTCATTAAACTTTTAGTTGACTCGGGAGAAAAATGATCTCAGAGAAGAAAAGGCTTCTCTTAAATCTGATATTGACAACTTGAATAATCAGTATCAGCAGCAGCTCAGGACTATGTTTCCATGGACTGCAATGGATCATTCAGTTATGATGGCTCCACCATCATATCCCTTTCCAATGCCAATGGCAGTACCTCCTGGTTCAATTCCCATGCAGCCATTCCCTTACTTTGCTAATCAACATCCTGCAGTCATCCCTAACCCCTGTTCAACGTTTGTTCCTTATTTAGCCCCCAATACCATTATTGAACAACAATCAATCCAGTACGTTTCCCCTCCACTTCATCCAGGCAGTCGGTCTAATGTGTCAGAAAAACAAGAGTCCAAAAGCAAATCATCCAGGGAGAGTAAGGCTGAAAAGAATGACGATTCTAATGATGTCACTACGGACCTTGAGTTGAAGACTCCTGGGTCTTCAGCAGATGAGGTTAGTATTGTTTGCCAAGGAAAATTTGCAACCAATAAATAGCTGTGATCATAGTTCTAAATTGCTGTTGCAATTGCAATCGTGGTTGTGGCTGATGCGATGCAGATTGGGGGCAGTTGGTGAAATTATTTTATGAATGCACCTGAATTAAAATATAGTTTTTCAATTACTCTAATTATTGATATATCTTATGCAAATTATTCATCACGCTACTTCCCCGCAGCCATCAAGAGGTGTCTTCTGCACTCCCCCAACATGTCACACGACAATACCCTTTTCACCATTGATAAGTTAGAATACAAGATTGAAATTAGAATATTTGTTTTTTCTTGTGATAAAAATGAAATAAAACAATGTTAAGGTTTTGTTGTGACTATGGACTACGTTTTGGTTTTTGTGTTACACAATTTAAAACCATGCCTGTGATAGAAGAAGCATAGGATTCAGGTTGTGTTTGTGCGCCATGTTTTGCAGGATTTATCATCCGGACAAAGAAAATCTGTCAAGATGTCAAGGAGGGAAAGCAGCTGCTGCTCAGAAGGGAGTTCATTAGGTAGGCACTCTTCTGCTCGTAGCGTTCAGGATAGCTCATCAAGCAGTGCAGTTGCAAGCAGAAAGGATAATGAATGAAAATGTATTCAATTTAGTGAAGCTCCTGATCATTTGAAGCTACTATGAAGATTTTCATTGTGCATCTGTTGCAACTCTGGAGTTACAAGTCATTATGTTCTTATCCCAAAATAAAAGTCACTGCTGTTATCTCTTCCTGACTAAGAATTTGGTCCAAGCAGATTTAAATGTTACATAGTCTAAGCATAAACTTTTCCTTCTGAGAAATTTCAGCTGGAAAATTACCACGTTGACCACTGTGGCTAGCTAACGTGTAGGTTTGTAAATTCTTTCGTAGTTGTTAGAATGTGATGATTCGATAAAATTCAACAAGCTAACCCATTTGTATCTTGGGATGAATTGCCGGTGACTTTGAATTGTACTATGCTTAATCGATTAACTGATATCAATGCAATTTCATATAATTAGAACAAATCACTCAAGTCAGAAACTCATTATTTTGTTTTGCTAATTCTCATAAATGAAAAGGTACTGAAGCACTAGTGACGCACATATTTGATTATTACATTGTTTTGTTCATTCATGTGAAGCCAGAGTTTTAATAGCTATTTTTCTCACTCTGAATTTCATTAACTATTTCATTGCTCTTTTTTCATACTTATAGAATCAAGATTCCGCACAAGTTCTCACTCATATTAGGCACCTTATTTGGCTACATGAACCTCAGAATCTTAAGTGAGTTGTTGGCTCCTATAGGCAAAGCAAAAACGAAGGAAGAATGGGAGTTGGCACACTCGATTGTCCAATGTCTACAATGTGAGTGCACTTACAATGAACTAACTAATCGATTGGATAACCTGTCCTTTACAGAAACAATCTTGAAAGACCCATCTATGAAAAAACAATGCATTCTTTTCAAAATATTTCAGTATTATTGAGTGAATAATTATATGTGGGTTGAGCCCGGGTTATTTAGTAGCATCTACACAATAATAATGATTGTACAAAAAAATTAATAAACGATAGTGTTGTTCACCTATCAATTTTATAATGTAGACACTGGATAATGAGGTCTTCTGCATAGATGGAAAAGGAAAGAAAAATCTTGCAACAATGGCCGCTAACGACCCTGCTAAACACTGTTTCAGTCGTACCATTTTTAGATTCTTGAATCTGTGTTGGCAGTAGAACTAATATCAGCACGACAAAAAACACTTTTTGCAAGTAGTTTTTTTTTAATCAAATATTCAATTAAAAATTAAGTCTTATGTTAATGCTTTGCATACATTTTAATCAATTTTTTAGGTTATGATCCTTGTTACTACTAAGCAACAAGAGGATATTATTGGCCTGGCCGGTAAAAATTGTTTCAGACCGTTCCAGCATATTGTTAACCAGACCGAAGAATGACACTTCTTAAAGTGAAAAGAGATGAAGAGTTAGAACAATGGAGAAATGATCAAATTTAATTCTTAAATATTATGAAGCGTTGTCAATTTAGTTCGTTGATATACGATTAAATTGGTTCTTAAAACTTATTTTAATGATACAATATTTTTTATAAAACTTCACACATAATTTACAAGATTTTTTACACACTCAGGATTAAATAAATATGTCATTTTTTTCTATGATTAAAATCAATGCATCGATGCACAAAAGCATGATTTTGATATGAACAATCATAGTTTGGTAGAAAAATCATTTGTTACCTTGGTCTTTAGAAAATAGGATATGTTGCGAATACAAGTTTAAAAAAATTAAATTACAAATGATTAATTATTGCCTAATATTTATTTTTTATCTTTTTTAAAACAAATTAATTTAATGTTAAAAGTACTACTTTCAACCTTAAATGTCTTTCTAAGGTGCTTGTATTTATATTATTGTTAATTAATATATCTATTTTTTATTAGCTGTGGACACCTTTGATAATGTCTACGTTTCTAGTATTGAAAAATCTGTTTTACTTGGATTGACTAATCTTGTTGGGAAAGCCAAAAAGAAAAGTAAGTTCCATGTTTCAAGTTCATTTCTCTTTCTGAAACTGCAGGATGATGGTAAGAAGCAAGTTTAAGATTCACTTTGATGAGAAATCCTTTTTTAGCCTTTAGGAGTGTAGAAATGTGGAAATGATAATTCATTGTTCTCCTTGTTCATTAAGAAAATAGTCTGGTAGGCAACACTTGCAAGCACAAGTGTTGAGTACAGAACAAAAAGAAAAGATATTGATCAGATAAAAGTGACACTCAAAGAATATATGCTAAAACCAATCTAATATCTGCAGGAACAGAAGCTCATCAACTCTTATATAAACCTCAGAGGACAACACTATACTAGTGTGCTTATGATGTTCTGCAGAGATCTTTGAGTGAGAATCAAACAAGAGAGTAAAAATGGGATGGTTCTCTCCCAAAAAGAGGAGTGTAGAGGGATACACAGGGCATAAGATGGCCACTGTTTCTCCTTCTCCAAATTTTCATTTGGTTGTGATATTTGGCATTGTCTTTAGCTTGTTGTGGCTCTCAAATTACACAGCCATTTACTTGCAGTTTCTCCTCATGTTGTCTCCCATACTTGTAATACTCTTCTTGATTTCATATTCTAGCACCTGTGGAAGACTCAACTTCAGCTTCATGCGTTTGAAGAATGTGGTGTCTCATGGCATGTAGCCATATTGCTGTTCATTTCATTCTTAGTGGTTTCTTAGGCCTCTTTGGAGACATGATTAAGTATTGGTGTGTTGTTACTACACAGGTTTAAGCTTGTTTTTCAGCTTTTGTTGGAAATTTTATGTTTGTGTTCACATGAAGTTGTAGGTATGTTTCATGTGAGAACATGTTTTCATAAGAAAAATGTTTTACTATACAATCATAATATAATGAATAGTAAAAAATATTTAAATGTTTAGCTAACCTCGTATAATGTTCAATAATCTTATGACATTAGTAACTACTACTTGAGAAACAAAGTTATCATTTGAATAACTTTATGACTCTCTATTAATCATATATCAATTTTCCTTTATTTTTAATTACGTTTCAGACAAAGTTAACAATATTTATACCCATAAGTGTATGTTCGTCATTTTAGGGAGAAAAACAAGCAATTATGAACGAACAGAGTATGGCTTCAAATGAAATGTAATTATATATACATGAAAAATATTTTCATTCTTCAAAATACAACCATTTTTACTTCCCCTCCAGTTCTTGGTGGACGATCATAACTATATAACTTTTTTTTTGTTAATTATAAAAACTGAAATTGAATATAATTTTTACAAGGATAAGAATAAAAAAACCTGTCATTTTGCAGATGATGGTCACATTTACATGATATGTAAAAATTAAATTATTTTTAATAATGTTAAACCTACTTAAATGAAAGATACACGAGAAATGAAAGTTTTACTTTCAAAAACCCTATTTTAATTTATTTATACAGAAATTAAATGGAAACTTTCACACCAAAAATTAAATTGACCGATCTACTAAAACGATTAATAGCAGAAGCAACTTAAATGATAGTTTTAGTATGAAAATTATAAGTTTATTTGACCATGTGTGACGGGGGAAAGTGTGCTGAAAGGGGTCAATTGAAAGAAATAACAAAATTTGAGGGGAATAAAGTTAAATATGCTCTCCTAAGCTCAACGTTTTGGTAATACTAAAAATAACAGAAAATCCTATATAATTAACAACGAATGTCTTAAAAATCTCTCAGTTCGCCTCAACATCTCTCATAAAAGATAGTCATGAACAAAGATGAATGAAAGAAAATTGGATTTGGACCCCAAAACTGCTGAGGGGCCTAAGAGGTTTTCTTGGGTGGAGCCATGTTTAGAAGAAGGGAAACCACTGCTTTGACAGTACAAAGCTTGAGCACCGATACGGTGACTAAATATAACAGCAAACCTGCAAACAAGTAAAAGCTAACTTATTACCACAAATTTATCAAACTAAACACACCAATTTGTACAACAAGAACAACATATTTTGAATTTGAAAAGAGAACTTGCCAATTTGAAAATGCGATAGATCATTGACATCATACTTCCCTGTTCTCCAAAGTTTAGAATCCTGGATAGCCTACACAAGAGTTCCATGCAATAATAACTGTATTTAGAAAGAGAACACTCAACATCCAATCATACACATGTGTCAATGCACTTACGCGTATATGTAACAGTATTGCAAATGAAGACAATAAAGCCTCTGATGCAACTATTTCATAACTTGTAGAGCCTATAAGCTAAGAAATTTCATACAAAAGGTTCAAGCACTTCCTTTGTCTCTAGCGGAGAAAGAGGCTTAGACCAAAAAAAAGAACAAGAGAAAGACGAACAGGTTCACAAAAGGAAGAAAAAATAAGTACGTTACAAATACATCCAAAGTAAACACCAAAGCACATGAGATCACTTTGTGTTTACCTCATTTATCCAGATTTTAAATGTAGGTACAAGTAACTGTCTGTTGAAAGGGAAACTGAAACCAAACCACCCAGGAGTTGTTAAACACCAAGAATTTGTATTTCAAGTCTTTCAAAATTATTCCCGAGAACGTGGGTATGGGAATGTAACATTTTCATGTTTGATGTAAAAGTAATGAAAAATTATTTCTAAACGTTACACATTCTCAGGAATCTATATTACACTTGTTTTCCAATCTTCTTATCCCCCACCCATGTAAAAAGGGTAGGAATCTTGTATTTTCATGGATTTTTAATAATTTTATTTTTTCATAAAATAAATTTATAAATATACCAAGGAATTATAAATATTTACCAAACATCTTTAATGGGAGTCATATTCCAATATATTCCCAAGAATACAATTAAATCCGTGAAACAAACAACTCCAAAATTTGAAATACTGATTAAACACAACCGGTTTGAATCGCCAAGCAAGTATGAAGATGACTAATATTTACAAGAGAATAAAATTCATAGAATGGATATTAGTTCCTAACTTCGAGAACCACCAAGAATATAGTTTCACGTCAGATGTTTACTTCTTTGTTGCCATGTTTCTCTCTTAATTTTTAATTTAATTTTTCTTATAAAATCTCCTGTCAAACACTGACATGATTTACCTTCAGCAGAAGATGTTGCATAGCAAGAGAAGCAGTCATGAGAAGCATTGCTATAGATGATACAATGGCATAAAATCTCAATAAACCGGACCGGCTTCGTCTTCGGCCTGTCACAAAAATTGAGAGATAGCTTATTAAAAGGTTCAAATAAAAAGCTCAATACTATACAAGGAAAGGAAAAGAAAAGAAAAAACTCAGGCTTTAGACATTTAGCAACCTATATTCCCAATGATTAGTGAAACAACACTAACAAATACAGATGAATAGGCAACTGTATTTGGAGTATCTGCTTTTATTCCTGGTAAATATGCAAATATTGCTCCTATTAATAGCAACACAGCCTGCAGGAAAGAAATTCAAATTTTAAATATATTAAACAAAATAAAAAGATGTCAACAGTTAGAAAATACAGAATCTCCAGGAATAGTTACAGATTGAGCATTTATAATCACAAGCTCTCGTTAGGCAAAAAATGATATTACATGGCTATGAACTAGGATTTAGAAAGTTGAGAATCAGACTATAAAACTCCTGGCTAACAATTCATATAATGAATCTGTTAGTTGATTCAGTTTGGATATTGATTAGTTTTTTAGGAGTTAACGAGTTACATAAATAAGAGGATGTAAGGTGGAAGAGGGAGGACGTTCATTTGGTAGATTGAGCATTAGCTCTTTGGGAAAGGAGAAATCCTTTACGGACAGCAAACCCTTAGAGAGAGAATGCTCTCCTGTTTCTTCCCCTTTTTATCCTAGTCAATAAAATCTATCTTTCTACTCTTTTTCTTTCCAATTCTTGGTTTCTAAGAGAATCCTTTATTCTTATTATGAAAGAATCATTATGAAATGTGTAGTTTGAATAGGCACCCAAAATAGTTCAACCAGATTAGTACACAAGTACACGTAATTATTCATAAATGTTTTTATTAATAAAAGTATACTGTCATCAAGTATTCAAGTTAGTAAATTTGCTTTGACAAATTTGTTAAGTATAGTCAAGAGTTGAAAAATATACATGTCCTGTAGAGTTGTACCTCAAGAACCCAAGCAAGCCCAACATTTTTTTAATGTTTTCTTTTAAAAGGAAAGAACATAATCAATTAGTAGAGAACTGCCCTATCCAGAAATTTCAGGAAGAAAGCCTTCTAAATAAAAATCTCTGTACAACAGCAGCCAGGCTTCCAAGTCCAACTCGTCATTACTCCTCTGGAACAGGTTAATGTGGCATGTCGGTTGAAAGCAGAATAATCTCGATCATTAAGAAACCCATTTCATTGAGCTGCCATACCTGTCCCATTTCCTAATTGTATCTAACTAATACCCAAATCACGATAGGCCACACGTATAAAAGTTGCAATCTGGTTCAGGTGCAGGGATAGCAGCACAGTTCAATCACCTGCTCTCCTTAATGGATGAGCCTTTCCATACATCAGTACATGTTTTGATAAAAATACTGAGAATAATTGAGAGCATAGACATTAATAGTTGTACTCCTGAGAGAATACTCATACTACCTCCTTTACTTGTAGCTCATACAAGTGCATCCCCCATAAATATCCCACGTTACAGTTCTTCATTCCTCAAAAAAACTCCACAATGCATAATGGGTTCTTCCCATTCCCCACAAATTTGCAAGTTCCCATGCATAGGTTACTTCACAGATAAAATAAATGATCAACAAAGTTCGGTCAGTAGTCGATATGTTGTCTGCACATGCCCATAACATCCTAATAGATCTCGGGCATTGATGAGGGAACTAATTAAGTTAACATAATCAGATAATTATCATAATCATGGTGATTAAGACTGTCTTAGACATATAATCAAAGCCCACCAGATATAGACCCATTAAGATAGCATAAATAGTTGTGAATCCCAAAGTATGTACTATTCATTGATTATATAGTTATTACATTACCTATACTCTGTCTAACTTGAGTCGGAATATCTTTATTGGCACATCTCTCCCTTTTGCCAATCAAAGATTGAGAGGAAGAAAACATTCTAGCATGAAAGGAAGACTACATCTAGGAATCAAGGGAAGAGAATCTCGCAATCTCCCCATAAGCTAAGGTTAGAATCCTTTTCACTTAAAGACCCCTGAACTTCTTGAACATTCATTATGTACTGCTATTATCAAACCCTCTATCCTAGAAACAACTACATCATGCTACTACTATTATGACTGCTAGTGATTTCCATGTTACTCTAAAAATTAATTTTTAAAAAAGTGTTTAAAAAAATATATTTAGCTTGCATATGCAAATACCATTCTCGGTATAGTTCTAGTTAAACAATAATATTTGTGTAACATGACTCGATATACAAAGTCATTGGAATCTCAAATGTCATAACATGAAGTTCCATATGAACACTCTGTTTTATTCTGCTGTTAAGTTTTGGATCAGAACAGGTTCTGAGCTTTGAGATTTTCAGAAAAGAACTTTGAAGGGCCAACACAGGATACAAAAAGAATCTACTTATTGTATGTTCACATTGATTAGCTTCTTGCAAAATGTCCTGGTATTCTATTTTCTTTCTACTTAAGAAATCTCACAGCAATATCCATGAAAATTGGCATACGACAGATATTAAATTGATTGTTGAATCTTTGGCTAAGCAGTTTGGTTCCCTGGTACTGGTCTTGGAGGTTGTGCAAGTTGGTGTAGACATTTGATAAATAGGGTGCAAAGGTTTGGTACATTGGTGACTGTTTGTGGAAACTTCTGACAGATAGTCTGGGGTTTTTGTGGTCTTTTTTAGAATAATTAATTTACTAATTTTATTAAAAAATAACCATTCCCCAAAATAGCACAAAAGCAATTCGTACTAAATCACGGAGTTGTTACACATTTACACTAAAACTGGTCTAAAACATTCAATTAAAAAGTCCTCAACCAATAATCATTACAAAAATTCTCACACAGAACATCTAAAGTCATTGACATAGAAATCCAATAATTATAAAGGAAAAAATAAATAAAATCTAAGTTACCTCAGTGATAAAGTGTAGAGAGAGGCGTTTCTTCCCCTTTGCAACTAGTTGATACCCTAAAATGATATAATATCAAAACAACAAAGCCCAACGAGAATATTATAACTCAATAAGATATCACTAAAAGCTAAGCTATAGAATCAATTAAGTGCAACTGTATTAAACATATTAAACAATGTATATCATAAATTAACAATAGAAAATATAGAGATTTAAGGTAGAAGAGTGAAGCTAACTTGAATCAACTACCATACGGTAGGAGTAATCGGAGCCATCAGTTCCAGAGGGCCTTCCAGAAGTCAACTTTCTATTCTGCATCTTTGTTTTTACACCTTGTATTGCAGATGACCTACTTCCTTATCAAGCTGAACCAATTATAACTGCATGGAAATTAGAGAAGTTGTTAGGAAAGTGACGAAGAGATAGTTACTTTCAATCGTTAAAATATTAGTTTAATTAGTCAGAGGGAGGGAGTTAGTGACATAAATAGTAAGGGAACTTAAGAGTGGGAAATTCATTAATATCCATCCACTGACATTTGTAAATTGAACATTAGCTATTAGCAAAAGGAGAAATGCTTATGACCTATTCTCAATGCTTCGGTATGATTGTTCAACTTCATTGTTTGAGTCAATCAATTTCACTCAATTCATTCCCAAGTTCATAACAGAAATATAGAGATTTCATTTGATACATAAGAAACTATGGATCCACATTTAAGGAGTAAACTAAAAACAATGCAAACACAAAGTGAAATGCTTCTGGGGCCAGCCAGCCACTACCCAGGATTTTAAACACTATCATAGCTAAAATATACGTTAAAGCCAACTGTAACTTTAAGCAAAATCCAAACATCAAATGTTCTGATGCTCATACAAAACACTCTGGGGGTAACACCTTCCAATCCATGTATACTGTCTGTATTAATAGTGATATGTCAGAATTACATATAACAGATTGTCTGCAGCTCAAGATAGAAATCATCGTTTTGCTTTCTTGTCATGGTATGATAAATCATGTCTGATTAAGAGACAAACTTGTACCCAACAATCCTAATGTACCTTGGCCTATCTGTTAATTGATATAGATTTTGGTCTTATTGCTGTGCCATGTTAGTTTATATTGTTCTCCATTCTGGTTAGTTTTGCAGCATAAGTTGTAGTGGAGCAGGTTATGAAATAAATTACCATCGACGACATTTAAATACTTCAATTAATTCGGAGGACATCTACTATATAACTTGGCATATCACCAGTAAGGAAGAGACTAGAAGATTGGCCTTAACGATGACTTCAGGGTACGCGAGGAGTTCAATTTCTGCAGAATGTCAACGTCTATACCTCTATGCAACCAGACCAACTGCTATCCATGGGTCAAAGCAAGTATTTCCCAAATGGCGGAGTTGATACAAAATAATCCTTTCCTGGGCCCTTAAAATCTTCAATTGCAAGAGATTATTCCAATTCAAAATAATTTGCTTTCCACTACAAGTCAAGCTTGTTTATAATGGCTACCCAAAATCTTGCATGAAATGATATTTGGTTTTGAATTTTGAACCACGAGTGACTTTTTCAATCTTTCTCCTGAACAAAGTTCTTGTGAAGAATATCACTATGTTGGGTTTGAAAAACAAATTACACATTAGAATTTTATAAACATTAGAACAAATTAATGTAGTACAACTACTTCATATTAAAAAAAATGATCTATAATTGCTTATTTATTCTAGACAAGTTGTGTAGAGAACATTTATAAAGAAATGTGCTTTTTTATTATTTTTCTGCATAATTATTAGTGTCACACAATTTGCAATCAATTTGATACGCCTTAACAAGCAAAGGATTCATATCGTGTGATAAATCAAATGACTTTGAATGGTGTGCATAAATCAGTTAGTTAACTTCCATATCATCGATATAAATCAAATGATTCAACAATTCATATTTAGACATCTGAAACTTCACAGATTGATTTATAATTTTATTTATGGTAAAATGTAAAATAGTGTACTCTAACACCCACTTGCCTCAGATAGCTAGTGTCATGAATCAAATAATCCTCCTTCACATTTATGAGAACAGTTTACTGTCCCATATGGTGCTTCCAATCAAACTTCTTATTATTTGTGATCCTAATGGAAAGTTAAGATACACTAACCAATGCCCTTGTAGCAACCCGAAACCCACGTTAACTCAATTTTCACCTGTCAAATAATCATTTGTAATCTTTGCCCCCTTTTGAAAATTTAAACCAAAAATTCTTTAAGACAAATGAGAAAAGATCTTAATGTAGGCTGAGCCCAGATAAAAAAGTCATTGAACCACTGGTAATGTCTCCATAGCAACTATAAAACACGAGTGAGTGACTGACATGAGAAACCCTACTTCAGAATAAAATCAAATAAAGGAATAATCAAATCGGGTGCATTGGTAGTGTTATAGTGTTCCTTCCCATTCAATAGCTTATTTGGCTTTTATTTTTTTTATAGCTAACAAAGAAAATGAAAAAAAAAAAACTGTGGTTGAATTGTGTGATTCACATCTTATATAGAGGTGCAACAATTAATAACATTCATATAATTCAAAGCCATTTGTTAGTCATCACATGATATGAACCTTAGCTTACTAAATCGTATTGAACCAATCACAAATCACACAATTCTAACAACTATGCACAAAAATAACAAAAGAAAGCAGTCATTCTTGAATAATATTCTCTACACAACTTACTATGTTCATGAACAATGTTTACATTGCCATTTTTAATATAAAATAACTATTTCATACATTAACTTATACGACTGTTCATAGAAACGATAACGAGTAATCTTTTCATCAAAACTTACCCAACTCAGTGTATCTCTACACACTGATATCTTTAGAAGACTGAAAATATCATAAGCAGCTCAATACTGAATATCATTGGCCTCTGTAGAGGATTTTGGATAGCCACTATACTCAAGTTTGACATGCAAACAAGAACAAACTATCTTGAACTTGAGTCTGAGAGTATCCATTATCTCTTGCACTTGTAAATTTTCTGGATCCATGAGAGGGTATTTCTGAATCAATTCATCCATCTGACCAATAATGGTTTTGGCCCGTGGAGAGAAACAAGTAGGGTCAAGCCGGACTGCAGAAGTCCAAATGTCAACACAGCCCCTATAGAAACCAAGCTCCTCGCCAATCTCAAAACCAACCTTGAGGCCAACCTGTCTGGCTTCTTCCTTGCCTTCAACAAGGCCATGACTGTGGCCCTCGTCATAGCCTTCCTTATAATGGATGTCTTCCAAGTTCAGCGAAGAATCAAACAAGTCATCCATGGTCTGCCCCAACACAATAAATGCTACAAAACTGACAAGTGTTGAGACCAAACAAAAGATAGCAGCATAGCGATAGGACCAAAACCAATTTCAACTCTAAGTGTTAAAAAATACAATTCAGGATTAATCAATCAATAAATGATAACAAACAAGGGTGGCCAAATGAAATAACAGTGGAATTCAACAACAGTACCAGGAAATATTGGAAATAAGTCTTAAACTGTTCACAACTCAAGCCCAAATGCAATAACTGTAAAATTCATTAAGAAATACAACAACACAGATAAAAAATACTGCAAATCTTATGTTTCCAGTAGATGTCACTACAAACTGTGTTTACGCTGACTGATTCATACCTCAATTTGATTGAATCTTCTCGAGAAACAAAAAATGTAAAATTACCTGCCCGTGATTACAGCTCTGCCAATTCCACTAGCTGAATAGAGAAAAAGTAGTGAGACGGCCTAGGGTTTGGTTTGGGTGAGATCAACTTCACCTGTTCATTTTACTATCAATTGTCACATATAAAACTTCCCTTAACTGTTAATTGTCTCTATATTTTTATATTTTTTACAAGATTCTCCAAGAATAACGTTTAGAGAAAAATAAATTATCAAAAAAAAATTAATAAAAATTTTCAAGTTAAAGTGTATATACATATTAAAAAATAAAAAATTATTACATGAAGAGTTATATATATATATATATATATATATATATATATATATATATATATATATATATATATATATATAGTTTAAAAAAACATTTTCTTCTTATTTTTCAATTTTAAAAGTCTTATAGAAAAATTTCATTGAAAGTTTTACTTATTTTGGATTTTTTTTCCTATTCAAATAAAAGAAAAAGTTACACTTTCATTTTTCTAATTTATACTAGTATTCTACTTAATTTTTAAATAGATATTTATCTATGGAAACAAAATAAAATTATAAAGTTTAAAAATATAAAAAATTAAATAAGTTTTTATAAGAAAAATTGAAATATTTAATTATTATTTCTTATATTATCAATATCAAAAATATTATGGTCATCTAATTATGAATTATATTATTATTATTATTATTAAAATTTATATTTTTTGAATCTACTGTTTTAATACAAAAATAAATAATTATAAATTATTTAGTTAATTATTAACTTCATATTTAATATAAATAAAGCAATTAATACTTTATTAATAGAATACATGGGTTAATTAACTATTTATTTTAAAATTAGCTGAGTAGAATGTCATTTAAAAAAAAATAAGAAAGGCAAATATAATTTATTTTCTAAATAAATTATTCTAAACAAAAAAAAGATTTTAATTTTAATTTTGTTGCATGAAAATAACTAAAATGTAAGATAAACCACACAGGCTTTATATATTTATACAAGTGTATTGCATACAATATATCTTTATTAAATTATAAATATCTTATAAAATTATCAGTTTAAAATAACTTATAAACATAACATCAAAACTAAACATATTTGTACATATTCTTATATCAATTTTATTTTGTTACTTATAAAAGATTAATATTTTAAATGTATTTTAACTAATTTTTTAATTAATTTTAAACTCTTAGAATGTTTTATGATATATATATTTATTTTACTTTCAAAAATTATATATTTTTCTTATTATGCATTTATTATTATTTTTTATCATATGTTAGAATATTTATATTCAAGCTTTAAATAAAATAAAATAACGATTTTTAAATATACATACAAAATTTTAAATTAATTCAAAATAAACTTAAAATATATAATATAATATGCTAAATATCAAAAAAACATATATCAATATTAATCACAACAAGAAAATGTTGGAAAATTAATAATAATAATAATAATAATAATCCTGATTTTGATTCTAACAATCAAACATAAACATAATCCCATACTGATAAACATGCTGTAGAACTCGAATGCTAAAGCGCACTCGAATTAGCCATAACGATGATGTCTTTGTAGAGCACTATATTGATCTTATGGTCTTCCACCGAAGAAGCACCTGTATTTCCCTCTTGATTTTCTCTCTTGATGGGGATAGAAAGAAAGGAACAGTGAATGAAACTTACGCTCGCCTACGTGCTCCCAGAGGGGACCATGACCCTTTAGATAACCGAATTAGGTTAATTACTTAAGTTTTAGTATTTCCAATTTGGCCCCTCATCAAATTAGAAATTGCTCTATGGTCTCTACACAATTTTATTTTCATGACATATGTTTTTAGCCAAAACTTTAATTTAGTCAGATCACTTTATTATTTGGCTTAATAAATAATGACCCTAACACATTTAAATATGTATCATATATACATGACCCAAAATTTGCTAACAATCTCCCACTGGTCACAAATATATATGTCTTTACAACCTTACAAATGTGTTAGACTTTATGAGCTCAAAATTGTCATTATATTCCTTTAAGCATATTCTAAAAGTCCTCGTCCATTAATCATATCGGATATAGAACCAAACCAGACTTTTCATTGCATCATCGCAACTAAAACCAACAAGATTACTCATCCCGACATAACCAAATGACATGGATTCATCATGAAATGTGTAGCATGAAAAATTACGTGAAGGTGATCTCGTACACGTCTATTTTCAACTCGGTCCAAACTTTAACTTATCGAGATCGATACAATAACCTTAATGTACAAAGTGTAATGAATGAACAAGAAAACCGCATATCTATAGATAACCAAATATGTCCAAAAAAACAATGTATACATATATGAAATTAAACATAGAACATAAAATATATGAAAGTGACTAACTCCCACTAAACCACAAATTCCTCAAACCGTAAAACACCCATGTGAGCAAAATGCTCATGAAAGACCTTGGGCTAAGTCCTTTAGTCGGAGGATCCGGTATCATGGAGTTTGTCCTTAAGTGTTCTATGAAAATCATGTCCACTTTTTACTCTTTCCTTAACAATACAAATCGATTTATTGTCACAATATAACTTAAGTGGTCTTTCAATGCCTTTCACAATTTGCGTACTCGTGACAAAATTTATCAGCCCATATTCCATGATTTGATGCCTCATAGCAAGTTACAAATTCTCGACATCCTACAAAATCTGAGTCGAAAACCCAGTGATCTCCAACTCGGTCCGACCTCCTATATGTGAGCATATAATCTTTTGTTCTCTTTAAATATCTTATGACCCTTTTTTTTTTTTTGCCGCTTTCAATGGTCTATTCCTGGATTGCTTAAATATCTCGCCTAGAACCCCAACTATGTATGCTATGTCCGGATGCGTACATACTTGGGCATAGATCAAACTCCCTACAACCGATGCATAGGGAATCTTTTGCATTTCCTCAATTTCCAAATTCCCTTTGGGCACCGATTGAGACTAAACTTGTCTCCCTTTAAACTTGTGATACATACAATCATCAACAATATTCATCTTGAAGCCAAATGAGTTTCATACCTTCCGGTAATGGGACAAGTTCCCAATAACCTTATTGTCTTGCATGGACTTATACTTATCATATTGCATCAATCCACTTTTGAGATTTAGAACCTTATATAGCTTGATGGAAGTTAACTGGATCATCTTCCATTATATCATTATTTTCCTCATGTTCCCGAAGAAATACCATGTAATCATCCGAAATAGCACTTCTTCTTTCTCTAGGGATCTCTCGCAAAGTTATTAGCTCATGATGCACAGTGTTCTTGAGGATCTTGAGTTTGTTCTTCATGAACAACCAAATCATCTTGAGTGAGGGGTTCATCAACAATGCCTTGTGGAGGTTCCGAACTTACTTTATCAAAAGTAACTATTTGAATCGGCTCTAAAATTATTACCGATTCTTCCTCCAAGATGAAGTTCTTAATCTTATTCTTCCCCCCAAACTCAATATCCTCAAAGAACGTAGCAGCTTCCCGTCTCAAAAAATTGTCTTTAATGTGGGATCATAATATTTATATCCCCTAGATCTTTCAAAGATAACCAATAATATAACCACTTACTGCTCTGGAGTCCAATTAAACTAATTATGCTCACATTATATAAAAAATAAATAATATATATATTCAAATAAGTGGTTTAACCCATCTCAAGATACCCAATGCACCATCAATATCAAGTCTTTGGACAAGTAATATTAACTCGCTAGAGGTATCTTGTTGTAATAATCAAACATTGACAATAAAGCACGTCCAACAACAAACCAGTCTTTGGATTGATTTATCATCGACAAAGCAAATCCTTATAATTATCACATGTTTATCATTACAAGTGTGTATGCAATTCGGCCAAATATTAATCTTCCTTTGGGCTGACTAATACTCGCATGAATATACACAAACACTAACATTCAATATTTTTCATGAACTGCCCAATTCAAAAGAAGTTACTTTGGTGACTTCTTGACTCAATTTGCTCACAAAAAATATTAAACTACCAAAAATTGAATATTTTATTTATATAACAAAACCAAATATTTAATATTTGCAAAATAATTCAAAAGAGAATCACCTCATTTGAACAAATCAAAGGATGAAAAAAAAAAGGTCTCATCTTCCACCAATACATAAAGGAATAACATCTCCCTAAAATCACACTAGGGATGAAACAGAGATAGTTCTGAGTCTCTTTAGCATACTGCTCTAAACCCTAAAAGGGGATTAAACAAGTAATCACTCAAACCCTAATTTAACATCAAATTTTCTTTAAATTCCTAGGGGATAGAGGCAATAAAATAATAACGACCAAACATGTGGAAACATTCATCATTTACCTAAGATTCTCCGTGTTGGGAACTCCACAAACACCACCCCCAATTCCAAACCCATAAAGTTAAATAAAAACAAAAGATTCAAAAAAAAAAACAGAGAACTCAATACAAGAAAAATTGAAATATGAAACATTGTTTCTTTCTCAGTAAAACTTGAAACTTAAACTGAAACAAAAGTGAAAAACGAAGAAGAAGAAGAATCCATAGCTTCCTCCACTGGCTCCAT